ACTGAAACCTCCTGGGATTTTGGGCACACACACACATGTGCCCTGGTCTGGAACCCACTGCAGCCAGCCACGTGGCCGCCAGCGCCTCGCCCACCATGCCACCTGCTGGCCTTGACACCTGGACAGCATACTGGCTTCCCACCCAGACCCGCCCTCCGCCCCTCGCCCCCCTCTAGGAAAAAGGGAACCGCCCCACCTGGCTCCCATGGAGTCAGGAAGGCTAGTTTTCTCCCCACCCCCAAGCTCCCATCCCCTCCTGAAGCTCAGCAGCCGGGTACCCAGGGATCTGAGGGCATAGGCCTCCCAGTGCAGCTCCCCCTGGCCAGGAAACCTTTCTGCTTGTCCGTCTGTTACAGTAAGTGAGAGGCAAAGAGTGAGATCACCCCCTAGGGACGGCCACTCCAGTCCCTTCCCCACCCTCTGGGACCTGGAGCAAGCACACAACCCAGGTCTTCAAGCTACCAGGCTTGGGAGGAACCACGCAGCCAGCCAACCTGGAGCTTCAGCGGCACCTGCCAGCTTGAGCCTGAACGTGCAGCCTGGGGGTCGCACAGGGCACCCACCTTATCCTGAACGGGCATATCTGCCCACCTGTCTGTCCCTGCTCAGGTGGAACACCAAGGCCTGACCAGTCCCCATCCTTGCCAGGGCCACCAGCAGGGCCACTGCGAGGAAGGGTGAGAGGACCCCTCCATTCAGGAAAGCAGTGCTCTTCCCAGCCTCACCCCTGCCCCCCAAATTTACCTCCCCTGGGAAAGGTCAGGCAGCACCACACTCTATGCCTGGGGGTTTCGTTTCCAAACTTGTGAAACCTCCCTCATCCTTCAGCAGCCTCTCCGCCCCCCAACCTAACCTCCACAAAATGTGCATGGTCACTGCAGAAAACCAGGGTCTAAGACACAGCTGCCCAAGGCCCCGAAGGGCGAGAGCTCAGGACAAGTGGCCGCTGACCTGGGCCTTGAGCCAAGCCCCCACAGCAGCCCCTGGTGGGGGGGTTCTTGTGTATGCACCTTGGCAGCAAAGCCTGGACCCCCAGGTACTGAAGCCACCCTCAAAGAGCCACCTCAGGACCTCCTGCTCACGTGGGAACTGGCAGGCACGTGCCAGAGGGGCCCACCTCCTTAGCACCCAACACACCCACCCAGCCTCCTGGTTCCACATGGCATTTCTGGCTGGCAAGTCACTCGCTCAGATGGAGCAGCAGCTGCCAGGCCCCGGCGACCGGCTGCCCCACCACAGGAGCCAGTGTCATCCACTGCAGCACTTTATTCTCCGTGCACGAGTGTGGCAGGGGCCTGGACCTCACATGACAGTAGAAAACAAAATTTGTCATCTCTTAAAAGAATTGAGAATTGCGTACAAAAACCTTACATAAATTAAAAGGATGAATTTACAGGTGGAAATGCAAACCGTTTCCAACTCAAGGCAAGTAACAGCCCAGGTGTTCTGGCAGGAAACGTGGGAAGAACAGAACTGGGTCCTAGGGCTCGGACTCCACCCCATTAAGACCGGCAAGACAGAAATGAAGGGGTTCAGAACTCCACCCGCCTCTGGAGGAGCCCTGGAATAGGCAGCTCGAGACAGGAATACCCTGCACAGACCCTAAAGCCGCTGGGCGTGCACCCCTCACGCCCAGGCGTCTCTACGGGCATGTCCTTGCCTCAGCCACCAGGTGACCGAGCCACGCGTACTGGGGGAAACCGAAGATATGTACAGGGTATTGGACACACCAAGGGACAGTGAACTTGAACACAAGGTCGAGATCAGCAGAGCTCTAGATCCAGTGCTGACATCCGATACAAGCTTCAAGGACAAATTTCTTTTCAAAGGCGTATTCCAGTTTCGTGAGGCTAGCATGAGGCGTACACGTTTGCCGGGGCAAATTTACACTCCGAACTCACTCACGCAGCAAAGGCTACGCATCTGCTCGCAGTCTGCCTAGAAGCACTTGCGGTGCACGATGGAGGGGCCCGACTCGTCGTATTCCTGCTTGCTGATCCACATTTGCTGGAAGGTGGACAGCGAGGCCAGGATGGAGCCTCCGATCCACACCGAGTATTTGCGCTCCGGGGGAGCAATGATCTGCGAAGGCAGAGGGCGTGGTCAGCCGGGGGCGTGGTCAGCCGCCGCCCCGCCCCGCCCCCAGGCCGAGCGCCCCGCGCCTCACCTTGATCTTCATGGTGCTAGGCGCCAGGGCTGTGATCTCCTTCTGCATGCGGTCGGCGATGCCGGGGTACATGGTGGTGCCGCCGGACAGCACCGTGTTGGCGTACAGGTCCTTGCGGATGTCCACATCGCACTTCATGATGGAGTTGAAGGTGGTCTCGTGGATGCCGCAGGACTCCATGCCTGCAAGGACAGAGCGCCCTTAGAGGCCCTGCCGCCCTCCCTGCCGCGAGGGAGGGCAGGAGCGCCATGGCTCAGCCCTCCCGGACACCTACCCAGGAAGGACGGCTGGAACAGTGCCTCTGGACACCGGAAGCGCTCGTTGCCGATGGTGATGACCTGGCCGTCAGGCAGCTCGTAGCTCTTCTCCAGGGAGGAGGAGGACGCGGCCGTGGCCATCTCCTGCTCGAAGTCCAGGGCGACGTAGCACAGCTTCTCCTTGATGTCCCGCACGATCTCCCGCTCGGCCGTGGTGGTGAAGCTGTAGCCGCGCTCCGTGAGGATCTTCATGAGGTAGTCCGTCAGGTCCCGGCCAGCCAGGTCCAGACGCAGGATGGCGTGCGGGAGGGCGTAGCCCTCGTAGATGGGCACCGTGTGGGTGACCCCGTCGCCAGAGTCCATGACAATACCAGTGGTACGACCGGAAGCGTACAGGGACAGCACGGCCTGGATGGCCACGTACATGGCCGGAGTGTTGAAGGTCTCAAACATGATCTGGGGGGACAAGGAGCGGCTCAGGGCGGGGCAGAGCCCTCCCCCCCCCACACGCCCATGCAGCATGCCAATGTGATGAATGGAGAGAGAGGAGGCAGGCAGACACGCGTGAGAAACCTGGAGGCCTCAGGAAGGAAATGCCAGGAGAGGACAGAGCCCTGGAACATCGAGAAAAACACTTGAATGTCAAGAAATAAAGCCCGGCAGGGGGATCTTGCGCAATGGGGCTGGGGGCTAGGGGCTGCCAGCCCAGCTACCTGAGTCATCTTCTCCCTGTTGGCCTTGGGGTTCAGGGGCGCCTCAGTCAGCAGCACGGGGTGCTCCTCGGGGGCCACGCGCAGCTCGTTGTAGAAGGTGTGGTGCCAGATCTTCTCCATGTCGTCCCAGTTGGTGACGATGCCGTGCTCGATGGGGTACTTCAGCGTCAGGATGCCCCGCTTGCTCTGGGCCTCGTCGCCCACGTAGGAGTCTTTCTGGCCCATGCCCACCATCACGCCCTGGGGAGGAAGGCTGTCAGGGGCCGCCCAGGTGCAGGCTGCCGCCGGGACGACCGGCCCTGGCCCTTCAACTCACCTGGTGCCGGGGGCGGCCGACGATGGAGGGGAACACGGCTCGGGGGGCGTCGTCCCCAGCAAAGCCCGCTTTGCACATGCCGGAGCCATTGTCGATGACGAGCGCGGCGATTTCCTCTTCCATGGCGATCTGGGGAGAGCAGCACTCAGGAGCGGCCCCTCCGAGAGCTGGCCCTGCCCGTGGGGTCCGCCTTCCCCGCCCGGGAACCAGCGGGGCTCCCGCAACGGCCCC